CTGTAGGAGGAGTAGCATTTTGAAAGAATTTGACAGAAATTTCTATTTTTACTGACCACGGCAACACCGTTTATCGAAATCAAAAACCGATATATAGAATTATGTATCTTAGTGTAGTATACTTGTGTGCCAAGTTATACTGAAATCAGGCCAAAACTGTAGAAGGAGTAGCATTTTGAAAGAATTTCAAGGAAATTTATATTTATAGTAACCACGGCAACACCACTTGTCGAAAACAAAAACCGATACACAGAATTATGTATCTTTAGTTAGTGAAGTCTACGTATGTGCCAAGTTATATCGAAATCAGACCAAAACTGTAGGAGGAGTAGCATTTTAAAAGAATTTCACAGAAATTTCTATTTTTACTGACCACGGCAACACCGCTTGTCGAAATCAAAAACCGACACGCAGAACTATGTGTCTTTAGTAAGTGAAGTCTACGTGTGTGCCAAGTTATATCGAAATCAGACCAAAACTGTAGGAGGAGTAGCATTATAAAAGAATTTCACAGAAATTTCTATTTTAGTAACCACTGCAATAATGTTTATCGAAATCAAAAACCGATAAACAGAATTATGTATCTTAGTGTAGTCTACTTTTGAGCCAAGTTATATTGAAATCAGACCAAAACTGTAGGAGGAGTAGCATTTTGAAAAATTGTTTAGAGACAGACGGACGGACGGACGGACGGACGCCGGACGGATTACTATCGCATAAGCTCTCCTGGTCTCTCAACAGTAGAGCTAAAAACCTTCCGCCACAAAATATAGTCCCTGGCTTAACCCTTCTTGAATGGAATTTAATTGCGGTTTTTGCAATGGATACAGTTAGCATGGTTGAATCTAAATTCAATGTTAAAACTTAAAAATGACGCAGAATTTTAGAAATAAAGGCCCAGACCAAAATCAACTCAAAAGCACACGATCGAACGTCCTTAAGAAAATGAAAATGATATGTACAAGTCCAAAAATCTTCTCATAAAGGCGAGGATAAACTAAAATTTATTGCTAATTTAACAGGTCGGAGAGGATACTCGAAATCGGGTATTATCCGTGAAATCGCGCGTATACGAGGGTTGTCCCAAAATTCCGTAGACAAGCATTGTATTGTAGGAACCCTTTGTCATACATTAATGAAACTTCGTATATAGATTAAACCAACACTATCTAATAAATTTAATGACAAATATGGAGTAACTACACAAATTTATCTCATTGAATTTGAAAGACCCATTTCATTGCCTGGTGTAGGAAGGCGGCGCAATACCCAAAAGTTACAATTAAAAATTGGTATATTATATATAAAATCCTACGGAAAAGTGATTACTACCCTGTATTTTTTGAATGGAGATGAAAATTCTGAATATAGTTTTATTTACTATATTTCCTCAAATTTTGGTGTGTATGATCTGATAAATATGAATTTTACAACGTTTTATATACATGGGGTTGAAATCCGACTTTTTGAAAAATGGCAGCTGCTTTGGCAGAGGCGGCGCACTGGACTATGTTCAAGTGTTTTGATCCTGAATTCACTCTTACAGAAATGTATCAGTCATAAATGTTTGGTACACTAGGAAACTTTTTCTCGTCCTAGGTATTTAAAATGACTAAAACGGTTTCTCTAAGTATATGTGAATAACAGTAACTAAAATAAAAGACATGGCTAAGAAATGGGCAAGAACTGCATTGTGCAACTTCATAAGAGAAAACAGACGAAAAGCCCATAGAAATATTGCGTTTTCAAATAATTATAATTTTTTACCTGTACATGCAAATACTTTGTTTACATATTTTAATGTTTGATCATATTATAGTAATTAAGATATTTCATATTTATAACTATAACCGTTTCGTTTAATTTAAGAATTTGATCCTGGTAATTGAAATATTTTCTCAAAAAATTTGAAGCGTTGACATATGTATTTTTTGACGTTGCAGATTGCTCCGGGTGCTAGATGACGATATCACTTTAAATCCTATAACTCGAAAAGTTTTCAAGTAAACATGATAAAACTTCGTAATTTATCTTCCAAGAACACGCTTTATCCACCCTGAAAATTTTATAAAGATACATTAATTTCTTGAAAAGATATGAGCTCAGTCTACGAAATTTTGGGACAACCCTCGTAATACTCGATATTAGGGTATCGATGAATCCGCGAAATCGGGTATAGGAGGTGTAATCACCTAATAAAACTTAAACAATGGAATGGCGCATGTTGCCGAGTTAACTTTCATAGATCTAGATACACATGTTTTCTAAAGGTATCACTAGCCAGGTGAGAATTTGGGCGTCAAGATTTATGCGCTCAGGACAACAAATACCCGTGGAGCTCAGTACATTTCATGATCTGCACACAAAAAGGCATTCGATTTGCTTTATATTTTTCATAATGTTGAAAGTATATGCATGTTCCTAATGTTCATTCCCAACACAACAGAGTTGTAAAGTATCAGAATTCGGAAATTTATAATAATTCCACATCAACACGACAAACATGAACAATTTGTAAATAAATCAAATTATACTGAAACACATTTCACACACAAGATATGATGCCATGTATATAAACAAGGGATTTTCTATCGTATCTAATTACTTTCACATCCATCTGGTGCATAAAATCAAATTTATTCATGAATGTATGAATAATGTAATGATGAAAATATCTCAAATTTCGGCTAAAAATAACCCTCTTTCACTTTTTTTGAAAATCTTTTTTTATCATTCATACATATTTGCAGAATATGTCTTCAACATTTTAGCAGAGACAGTGATAGTTTCAGGAATACAGTTCATGAGAGAACATAACTGTTGATCGCTTAATTTCGCTAAGTCATCAATATTTTACCATTTCTTGGCGACTTCAAAGGAGGGGGGGGGGGGGGCTAAAGGCTTCTTGACCACCTCTGACAAAACAACCTCGACTGTGTTCTACATGTGTCCAAGAGACCTCTCTTTGAATGTAACGGTCGGTTAAACTTAGTTATATATTTTTAATTGTAGAGAAGATTTATTCATCAAATAAAATTCATATAGGTAAACAAAAAGCAACCTGTTATTTTCTAACACAATATGAGACTACAAGTAACTAGTATTCATGTTTATTTTTTGAAAACATTTTTCCACTATAGATGAGTATCACGAAAAGTTATTGCCATGAGTATAAGTATCATATTAGATAAAATAACTAAAAGAAAACTGTAACATATTGTCTAGAACCAATCAGATAGTGCGTTGTATTAGCATCTTATAATGAGGTATAAGATAGCGATATAAAAAAAATATAGAAGGTAAAGAGGTAAAATTTACCCTGTCTATCAAATAGTATAATAAAGAAAGGAAGTGGCTACAATTTTTAAGAAATTTTAATGTCCGATGAGGAATTATATTCCCAAAAAGTAAGACAAGAGTTTCCAAGGCAATTGAACACTTCATTATTTCAGTTTGTTCATTAACATGTTCATAAACGTAAAAACTATAAGAAATGTGAAAACTTGACTATGTGATTCATATTTCAATATGACTGTACCTCGATCTATATTGAGAAATTCAATGTATTATAAGCTCATGAAAAGATGTACACATTTGACTTTTATTTAACCCCCCCCCCCCAAAAAAAAAGAAAATCCTGTTCAAATGACTTCTCGCTCTCAATTTTAACACAAATGCATAAAATAAAGGTAAAATAGCATATCTTGTATCGATTAAAATGCAACCAAATAATTTATGGTGTCTTTGAATAAAAATTTCCATGATAAACTGACATAAAAAAGATACTCACCTTCAATTAGCTATTTTCAACCTGTTTTCCCGAGGGTATTTATTTAATCTTATTTTATTTTCTTCTTTATACTAAAGTTGGTATTCTATCATGGCAGAGATATACCATTATGACTCGCTTATACTGTACTCTCTAACTGTTAGGATTAATTTATATTTCACGTGAAAGGGACGCCATACATTTTTCAGTAAAAATACATAACACGGCGTAAGTCGTTTAATTTCTTTAAAGTTTCACATTTTGTGAATAGTGCACAAATTAGAAAATTAAGTATATGGAATACTTTAATGGGAAGTATAGACAAACGAAGTGTAGTTATTTGTTTTTAGAAATTATATTGAAAAATAATAACGACATTGTGTCCTCTTTGTTACCCCAGCAGTGTTTGTCGTGTGATTTTAAACTTATTTGACAACCGTATGAATTAGGTTTAATAAAAACTAGAGGTACTGTGAGCGATGAGCTCACTAAATGATACCCCCCGCCTCCCATATGGTTATAACTGGTGAAAAAGTCCATGTTTTCCTGTGGCCGGGAAACCCAAAATATGTGTCGAATCAAAAAGTAAAATAGGAGGTGCACAATGGCAATATGTAATGAAGATTCTGTGAAAGTTTCATCAAATTTCATTCAGTGGTATGAGAGGAGTTGCGGATAAGAGGTGGGTACCCCAAAGCGTAACAGACGGACGGACGGACGGACAGACAGACGGACGGACGGACGGACGGACGTACAGACGGACGGACGGAATTAACGATTACTATATACCCTCCCGCTTTTCAAGCGGGGGGTATAATAAACCCACAAGATACTGATGTACAAGTAACAGTTACTGGCATAATGCGCCGTTGCTTTATTCTTTAGTTTTTATAGAAAGTTGCGCGGAAAACCCGATTTCGCGGATTCAACGATACCCTAATATCGAGTATTATACGCGATTTCACGGATAATACCCGATTTCGAGTATTCTCTCCGACCTGTTTAAGGCTGGATTTTGATAGGTCGAAGATTAAACAATTCGTGAAGTGTTATTTCCTGTTCTGAAAAAAGAGCATCGGTTTGTCCAGACTATATACGTACTTATAGAACTTATTCAACTTTGCCATTCACTGATAAAATCTTAAAATAGAAAAAAACTATTCTAAAATTAGCCATTGTCGTACTTATGTCTCAATATTATATAAGAAAACCAAGTTTTTCGATAACAAAATTCACATTCATATTAAAGACGGATCTTAGTTCACATTGTGTAAAAAAAATCAAAGGTAAAGAAAAAAATAGGGGAAGAAATTGAAAATAGTCTAAAATCATGATAAAAATAAAATTTAAAAGCAACAGTATTTAAGAAATAATGTATATGTTGGATAATTCTAGAAATAACCACAACTCTTATTATAATAACCAACTTTTCATTTAATTGTTAAAACCCAAATTTAACCAGTAACTAATAAATTAGGAAAGGTGTTTTATTATACTATATGTATGTCATGTTCCAATGCAAACTGAATGAATTATTTTAGATGATGTTCGTGACTGTCTTGAATGTGAGTCTTGTATTGACATTTTTGCAGATAACGACTTCTTCATGTAACAAGTAGGTGTATGTTTCTTTAAATCAATTTATAGACAATTTTTTACATGTTTAGAAGTGGGATCAGGTGAATAGTAAGAGTAAACATCCCCTGTCGACCGGTCACACCCAACCTTATAAGCCCAAACATATTGATCAAATAGTATACAATTATTTAATGCCTGAGCAGTCAATAGACCAGAATATTTTTCCCGAGGTGTAGGGAACAGCTCAGTGTGTTCTAATGCCCGAGGCCAGCGGCCGAGGGCAATAGAACACACTGAGCTGTTCCTTGCACCGAGGGAAAAATTTTTGGTCTATTGACTGCTTAGGCATTAAATAATTGTTTTATTACCTAATTTTAATTTCCGTATTAAGTATTCACAGTTGTATATTCAGTACAGAAGGTTCCCGTACCATATTGTAAATTTATACCTAGATATGGTGCATCTGTAATATTAATTAAAGATTGATTGTATAGAATATTGTTTACATTCCTCTCGAAAATTTTTCACTCATATGGAGACGCCACCACTTTCCGGTGGAGAGTGACCTTTTTCGCGCCAGCACTGCAGCAGTGCACTTACTGCGACACGGGAATTCGGTGGATAGGTCTCACCCGATGAACCGGTCTCCACGTCCCACAGTGTATTAATTAGAAAAGTAATTCTCATTAAATAAAATATCCGACCATTGAGATCACAATTTTTAAAACCAATGTCGAAAGATAGAATAAGATGATTGTTTACCATGTCTGTGCACAATCGCAACTTCTCGGGCCTTTCCGACTAGCGGAAAAACAACCTCGGATGTATATGGTAGACGCCATGACAACCCTCCTTTTTCATGATCTTTGAAATATATGCATGGAGACCTTTTATCTGTGGAATATGGAGTTTAACTTTATTCAATGTTATCATATTACCTAAAATATACTATTGAAGGGACTTCTAACTCCATCTATTATACATTTGACTAAACAGGAAATGTATAAATTTTTAACATCCGGCGATGTTAATACATTAGTCTCGTTTACCCCAGACTCTCGCTCTCGAGACTTTGCCCGAGTGAGAGTCTGGTCTGATTCCTATTAAATTTTTGTAATTTCAAATCGAGGCTTACCGAGAAATCGGTATGGATTTTCATTGGCTGACACATTCTCTTCGAATCTTTAAAAAGTCAGAGGCTGCGCCTGTACTTCTACCTGGTTTTAAAATAAAATACCTCTGTCTGCTTAATACAAGGAACAAAAAACGCACATATCTTTGTTTAAAAAGTAAATTCTCATATGTATTTTCATTTGGAATCGCCATCTTGTTAGCCGGTTAAGCGACCTCTACTGGTTACAAAAACAAGTAGAGCTTTTCAAAAAAGCTTACCGTCTTTAGCAACAATTTTAAACAGTAAACAGATCTATACTTAACAGGCCGTATAATTCTTTTGAAATTCTTGATTTTGTATTTCTAAATTAGCTTTTTACGGGCATTAGCCCTACCACGGTTGTCGCTCGGTCATCTCCGTAAACTTTGACTGGCCGAGAGCTTTCGTCAAACCGCGGCTGATTCCCATTCACTCTTCAAACCAGAAAGGGGAAAAGAATAACAAATTGTAAAACCTGCAAGCAATAACTATCAAATTTTATTTATAATGAAATTAAAAAGACCTTTTTATTTATTGCTATAAAAAATATCATGTTATTAAGAAAAAATTACTGCTGATTTTGTTGTTCGTTTTGTCATTTTTTATTGGAAATCTTGCAAAATTGTTAAGTCGTACGAAAAATAGATCAACAGAAAGTTATCTCCCTTGCCCTGAACAGCATTTCAACCAATGAAATAATTGAAAATTTTCTCATCATGCAATTTCTACCAATCACAAAAGAGAGGAAGTGCATAGTCCGAAGACTGTAAAAAACTTCAACTATACAATACCGTCTTCCAAGGAAGACGGTAATTAAATAGGAATCAGACCAGACTCTCGCTCGGGCAAAGTCTCGAGAGCGAGAGTCTGGGGGAAAACGAGACTATTAATACATTCGAGGTTGTTTTTCCGACCTCTGACGGAAAGACCCGATCCGATCTCTGACGGAAAGACCCGAGATGATGCGATTGGTCTGTGCAGTGTTACAAACAACTAAATTTGAAACCCGGATCGGTTTTTTTCCGAAATACGTTGCATGTCAATAGAACGTGCAGTCTATTGACCGGGAATTGGATCTCAGTCTATTGACCGGTCAATAGATCGACAGTCGATAGATCTGTTTGAAAAGATAAGAAAAACTGAAAACACATACAGAATAGATGAAAATATTAAATTTATAATAAAACAACAAAATTCATTGGATTAGGTAATAATCAAATTTAGTGTTAAAACAAATGTCTAACAAATGATATATGTCAGACGAAATATTCTTTTTCAGTTCTTATATGATACTGGCACCAAAAATCGTGCGAGCTGGTTTGTCTGAGAACATTACTGTAACAGTTCTAAAGAGAAATGTCACTGCGACCATTACAGCATCTCTACTGGACTTAAAAGGGAGCATTCTGTCAACAAATACCGGATTCTTCCAAAGTCGTTAGTCTTCAGTTGTCTTCAAACACTCACCACCTGAAAACAAAATGAAACAAAAATGTGTAGAAATTATTTTTAAAAAAAGAAATAAAATATTTCAATAACACCAAGAAAAAAAATCAGTAGCATATATTAACCCAAAAGACAACAGTCGTTTTAAAATAACCCAATATTATTTTACATACATAATTCTAAAGACTTGTTTTCAGATGTT